AAAATTTTATAGGCAACTTTGGGAGCCTTCATGTTCCCACAGGAGGGAAAAAACCAAAACTGACCCAAGATACCTAATGCAAAAATGGTTTCTGTTAAAAAAAAAATCAGTTTAATTCAGTTTAATCAGTTTAATGTCAAATAATTAAGTTTTCCACTCCTGTTTCTTTGGGAAACAAAACAATAGCTCCCACCCTTTTGGAGGCTGGGATACCTCAAACCTTAATTGATCCTTCTAGGCTGCCACTGCAGGTAAGGGACAGAGTGGTTCTTGCCCTCTGCCTGGATTTTTGTCCCACTTTCCTGAGCCTTTGCCCCTTGTCTCCAAGGAGATGGGCTGCATGGTCTCCCAATGTCCCATATGTTATAGATCTGTTTTATTATGAGCTTCAAAACTCAGGCAAGGATGTGATTACCATTGTCCCTATGCTGTGACAGCCTCTAGCTATTTCTGTAGGGATTTAATAAATTGTAAAATTTATTGGTTCTGCACCAGGCTCGGAGACCTCCCTATAGATGCAGAAGGATTTCTCAGGGTCCTTGTCAAGCACTCATTTCTTCTACACACACGGGCAGCCAGCATTTTTGCCAGACATCCTCGTAGCTCCTTATGTAAGGCTGCTACGGTCAAGCTGAACCTCATGGGTGACATCACTCCAAACCAGGGCCAGCTGGTCAAGTGTGGAACTCACCTTGCTCAACTGAAACACACAAAAAAAGAGAGACCTCATTAGGCACGAATCCAACTCTTGCACAAGCCCTAAGTGACGGAGGCTGATGTATAGGGAGGCTCTAGCCAGAGGCCCCCTTCCCTCCCTTAAGACTTGCTGTTCTAGTCAGGGACATTTTAATCCATCATCAAGAATTCTGGAAAAGGGTGAGGGAACGCAACCTTGGCTCCTTGGGAGAGGAAAAGAACACCAGCCACCAGTACTGATTATGGAAACTGCGTGCCGGGCACCACAATAAAGCCCTGGTGCGTGATGTTCTTTTACTCCACCCTTTGCATAAATATCATCGTCCTCACTTTACAGAGGAAGCTGATGCTCAGGGGCAAGGAGGTGACTTGTTCCAGATGACATATTCCTAAGGGATGGAGACAAAGCCTGCACCCAGGTCTGTTTGTAGACAGAGGCAGATGGGGAGGAAGTCGGGAAATGGAAGAAAGGATGACCAGTGGTGGGAGACGCCCCGCGAGGCCACATGCCCCCGAGGCCCACCTACCCTAAAGAGGTAGAAGCCAATGGCCAGGTGAGGCTTCCAGTTGCGGTGCCTGTGCCTGGGCTTCTGCAGCAGGGACACCAGCACGCTGCAGGGCATAGGGAACCTCCTGCCCTCCTGAAGGCTCCAGACAGACAGCAGGAACTGCGGGTTCTTCCAGAATGTGTCTGCAGCAGAACACAGAGAGGTGGGTCAGGCCTCCCCACACCCCTAGCATCTGGCTCCCACAGACCCAGGGCGCCTCCCCTGGGCTTGCCACCCAGAGGTCCATGTGGACAGAGTCGGGTTCTCAGCCTCCCCTCTATCCACCCTCCCACTCCACCTCCTCACCCCGTATTCTGCCATAGACATGCAGACCGGAGTATTCTCGCTGCTATAGCCCCTTCACCCAGCACACTCACTGCCCGATGAAGTGACTGCATTCATGAATGGAGGAGAACATGTCCATGACCTCAGGGAGGTTTGCATTTTAACACGGACCAAGCCTTAGCTGAAGGGCAGCTTGAGCGTTGGGGCGGACCTCTCTGGCAGGAGGGGGGAGCCGGAGCAAAGGGCGCCTGGCCGGCTGAGACCGTACCCCATGGGTCTTTCCTTCCAAAGAGATGGCTCAGCACCTCCATTGTGGAGAAAGGGACACAGTCACCAAACCTCTCCACTTGGAGAGTTCAGACACGTTTGCCCCCTGTAACCGGTGAGCTAGGAATCCTTGATGTTATGTCACTACCAAAACCGTAGGCAAGGAGGGGCCGATAAGGATGATAAAGTTACCATTTCACTCCTGCCTTTAAAGGGTGGTTATTTCGGGGCGCCTGGGTGGCTCAGTCGGTTAAGTGTCCGACTTCGGCTCGGGTCATGATCTCACAGTTCGTGAGTTCGAGCCCTGCGTCAGGCTCTGTGTTGACAGCCTGGAGCCTGCTTCAGATTCTGTATCTCCCTCTCTCTCTGTTCCTCTCTCTCTCTCTCTGTCTCTGTCTCTCTCTCTCTCTCTTAAAAACAAATAAAGATTTAGAAAGAAAGAAGGAAAGAGAAAGAAAGAAAGAAAGAAAGAAAGAAAGAAAGAAAGAAAGAAAGAAAGGAAGGAAGGAAGGAAGGAAGGAAGGAAGGAAGGAAGGAAGGAAGGGTGGTTATTTCAGCATGGAAATGACCTTGTCCTAAAATCAAAGATTTAAGCCACCCTTTTACTGTGGCATGTGTGCCGAGGAGGACACAGCCCAGGGCCAGAGCAAACAGCTCGGTCAGTGAAGTCCCTCCACGCCTCAGCCAGATGGCCCGTGCAGGGTGAGGGCCTCACCACCATCCCCAGCAGCTCTGCCCGCATCCCCACCCCTGCTGGCCAAGCTGCCACATTAGCCCCAAGGGCCCAGGCTCCTGTGCGCGTGCTTACCTCGGGGTGACTTCATCGGGCCACCGGCCGTGATCCCCTTTTCCCATCTTCCCTCCCGCATGGTGTATGTCCACTTCTGGCCTACATCCTGACTCAGCAGGCCCGGGGTCAGTTTGCAGATGACCAGAAGCATGAAATGTGTTTTAAAGTCCTTCAGTGTCATCCTGTGGAGAGGAAGAGGGAATAGCATGACGTCTCCTCATCAGGACCAGAGTGGGGGCTGGAACCAAGCTGCCCCACCAGCCCCAGCCCCACACCACACCCTGCTGAGCTGGCCGTGGACACAGGAGAGCACAGCTGGCTAGATCAGCGTGAGGGTGCATCGGGGGTGATGGACCACCCTCCTGCCCCCTACCCGTGGCTGCAAGCAGCCTCCCACAATGGGTGCCTGGTGGCAATGTTCCTGTTTCGCGGATTGTGGTGATAAAGCTGAACTGAGGCGCTTATAACTAGCCAATTAAGATACAAATGTTTGATAATATTTGCACAAGTCGGTTCTCAATTATAAATTGAAAAATTCTTAGCCCCTACTTGCCAACTTTGTGGGTCAAAGCGTGCTAGCCGAACTGGCTGATGCTCAGTTTACTTATCTGTAAAGTGGAAATAATAGTATTTTCAGGGCTTTGCAGTTCAGTGATGACTTCCAAAGAGAGAGGGGTCGCAGCGGTCTAGAACGGGTGCAGAATGGGAGAAGGGGGCCCGTGGGAACAAGGGTGGAAGTTAAGAGTAAGGGCAAGAAGCAAAGGGCAAAGGGAACAAATGGGGCTCATGTCAGACACCCAGAAACCATATTAGCTCAGGGTGTCTTGGTGGCTTTTCATAAAAAAGGGGTGAGTGGCTTTGGGGAGGGTGGGAGTGATGTCATGGCGCTCTGGGGGGTGGAAGTGAGATGGCTCAGAGTTTATAATCTCATCTTCCTTTCAGGCCAGGAAAGGCAAAACCTCAGGATTGAGTGCATTGAGACAGAACACAGAAGGAGGTGGCCAGCCAGCCCTCTGCTCTGCTTTGAGGGTCCACTGAGCCCCACACCAGCGGTCACAGGTCTCACTATAGAGACTGTGACCGTTTGCAGGGGCTGTTTGCCCACTAGACTGCGGGCCCCTAGTGGGTCTTCTTGATCTCTACACAAGAGGTGCCTGGCATACACATGGCACCCGATAAATAGGCTGGGTACCCAAATGTAAGCTAGGGTGTTTGTCTCGAGTCCCCGAGTCAGATACCAGAATTCTCCATCATTGCTTTTCCTCAGGAGCAGAATCTTCTCCTTGGGGCTCAGTAGCTCCCACATACCCGAGCTGAAAATAGAAAAGGGATGTTTCCGGGGTGGGGGGATGAAAGGTTTGCAGAGGACGTGGCAGAGATGCTTTAGTAAATCCTCTGCCATGTCATTATTTACCTCATCTTCGTGCTGCTTTGCAGACAACCACACCTCACGTCCTGCTTTATAAAAGTAACACGTAACCTTAACTCATCCCTCACTGTGCCCCCAGCTCTGGGCCAGGCTCTCGACATACTTTCTCTCATATAAGGCTGACCACAATTTTTATTGCCGTTCTACACATTCGGAAACAGAGGTTAAAAGAGATTAATTCACTTTCCAGAAGTCACAAAGTTATGAAATGTCTGAGAGTATTTGAGCCTACATTGGTACTCTGTATTTTCAAAGCCCATGGTTCTGAACTTCCATTGTGACTGTGAAGGAGTTAAGGCTTCCCTGCGTCAATTCCCCACCATAAACAACTAAAAATGGGAAAAAACATTGAAACAAACAAAACAAACAAACAAAAAAACCTGTTCTCAGATGTTAGACTGCAGGCAGCATAGGGTTCTGACCCCGAGAGAAGGGGAGCAATGTCACCTAGACCAGTTTCACCTAGACTCCGCCCAAAACTAAATACCTGGAGGGTGACACAGGGAATCACATTCCGGTAATAGCGATAATAGCGGAAAGCCCAGAGGTCATGACCGGTCACCAGAAGGTTGAGGCCAATCCAGATCGTCTACCTCTGACTCAACAGGCTCAAGAGCACACTGAACCAGGAAAAGAACACTGGGTTAGACTCCAAACACCTTGCTCGAGTCATGCTGAGAGACCTCGAGGAATTCCTTCGCTAACGCATCAACATCTTCATCCATAAGATGGGGATAAAACGCCCTACCTTACAAGAGCATTGGTCAGAGGACTAGAGGTAATGAAAATTCAAAGTGCTTGGTGGAAATATGCAAATAGGGGAGACTTCCGCACATGTGAAGTAAGTGCAATTTTTACTTCCAAATAAATAAAAAAATAAACATGGGCAGGGAGAAAAAAAATATTCAAAGCCGCTTAGCACAGGGCTGGCAAGCTCTCAATAAACATTAGCTCAATTATTATAATGAATGAGAACACAATCTATATATCATTAAGCATCTCATGAATGTGAGAGCTTGACCTTCACAATCTGAAAGCTCCCCTGTCAGCCCAAGAGAACACTTGTGAATTTGTGTGCAGGCGGCCAGCTCCTTTGCTGGCTTGCCCCGCCCCCTCCTGGCCCCTGGCAGCCGGTGTCAGGTGCTCACCTGTCACTCCAGTCCCCTTTCCATTCCACTTTGCCCCAGGGGTTCCGCAGCTTGACTAGATATTCTGGTCCGTGTCTGCAGGTCACCTGTGCAAAAGGAGTCGCAATTTAGGTGGCTGGGCTGAGTGCCAGATGCAAATGTTGCAGATATCTGGGTGGGACTTGTGCCTGCCAGATGAGACCTTGAAAGGGAAGGTTAAAGGCACTGAGGGTTAAGAGAAGAGAAGAAGGCTCTGCTGCTTCTTAGCTGCTGAGACCTATGGCCAGTTCCTTAACCTCTGTGTTCCCTCATCTGTAAAGTAAAGCTAATTGTCACATCTCGCTGCAATGGGTTGAATGGTGGCCTCCAAAAGTCCGGTCTACCCTAAATCTGTCAGGGTGATCCTATTTAGAAAAAGGCTCTTTGCAGATGTAATTAAATTAAGGATCTCGAGATAAAATCACCCTGGATGAGGGTGGATCCTAAATCTAGTGACTAGGGAAGGGAAGGAGAGGGGGAAAGACACAGAGGAGAAGGCCATGTGAAGATGGGGGGAAAGATTGGGTTCTGCATTCCAAGCTAAGGAAGCCGGGAGCCACCATCAGCTGGAAAAGGTGAGAAAAAAATCTGCCCCCAGAGCCTTCAGAGGCTCTCATGACCCCTTGATTTTCAGACTGCCGGCTTCAGAACTGGGAAAGAATACATTTCTATTGTCTGAAGCCACACGATTTGTGGTGATTCCTTATGGCAGCCCCACTTGGCTAATATGCCCACACCCAGGGTTGTTGTAAGGATTGAGTTAACATTTGTAAAGCAGTTAGGACACTAGTTAGAGCAGAGTAAGTGCTAAATTTTGTTACATATGTTAAATAAACATGAAACAAAACACAGGCATAAACATGTAACTGCTATACTGAAAAGCTGCAAAAATAATACAGTTTCTTTATTGACCTCACCCTGCCCTTCCCTACTGTTAACAGTTTGCATAAGCAGGGTGTAATTATCAACTAAAGAAACTGAACATCAATCAATGAAATGTCAAGTCGACTACATCTCGTTTGTTTAAATGGATTTTTTTTAATGTTTATTATTTATTTTTGAGACAGAGAGACAGAGCACAAGTGGGGGAGGGGCAGAGAGAGAGGGAGACACAGAATCTGACACAGGCTTCAGGCTCTGAGCTGTCAGCACAGAGCCCGACGCGGGGCTCGAACCCACGAACCGTGAGATCATGACCTGAGTCTAAGTCAGACACTGAACTGACTGAACCGCCCAGGTGCCCCTGTTTAAATGGATTTTAACAGGTAAAAATACATGGTTCAAAACAAAAATTATATGAAAAGCGCTGTATTAAGTAGTCTCTTGCCTACTTAGACCTCTCCATTTCCAGCCATGCTTCCTTCCAAACACTTTGAATGCTTCTGTATTCAAATATGAATATATATTATTATTGCCTTTTTAAAAAAAATTTAATGTTTATTTTTGAGAGAGAGACAGAGCATGAGTGGGGGAGGGGCAGAGAAAGACAGAGACCCAGAATCCAAAGCCCGAGGAGAGGCTCAAACTCATGAACCACATGATCATGACCTGAGCTGAAGTCAGACACTTAACCGACTGAGCCACCCAGGCGCCCCTACTGCCCTTTCTTTCTTAAAGAAAAAGTAGCATACGATATAAATTCTCCTGTCCCTCACTTTTTCTACTCAACAGCGTTCTGGAGATTTTCTGAGGCACTGCATGAAGCACTTCTCATTCTTCTGCAACAGCACAGTGACATAAAAATCTAAGTTTTGTTAAAGGACTATGAAAATAAGTCCTTTAACTTATTAAAGCTCTTGGCATGCACACACACACACACACACACACACACACACACACACACATGACTGGTGCAGATCTGGGAGGAGGAAGAAGTCAGGTTGCAGTGGAGTTCAAGAAATTTAAAACAGTTAAAGGGAATCAGGGACTTGGGGACATCAGGCCCTCCAGGGGACATCAGAGGGTGTTTAAGACTGAACCGGTGGATTTCTTACCTGCATGCTTTTCTGTGTGGCCTCCTCCACCAGGAGTGCCCTCACCAGCCACCCTTCAGGGGCCAGCTCAATGTCACCTCCTCTGCGAAGTCTTTTCTGACTTCCCCCAACCCAATCAGGAGAATGTCTTCTCCTCCCTCTGAACCTTGAAATCCTTTTGTCTATTCTATCGGCCCCCCAACTTTTGACTTTGCTTCCTTACCATTCTTGCATATGATGTGTCTCCACACCTGACTATAAGCTCTGTGTAGGCAGGGACCCTGTCTGATTCATCTTGCCCTCAATGGGGGAAGAAAGATGAATAGCAATGAAAAGAACCTGAGAGGTTGACGAAAAGGAACTTCTGAGAAAGAAGTAAGAATTTGGGTGGGAAGCCCCAGATATGAAGGTCATCAGTGGCAGCCCAGAGTGAAGGGGTCTCAAGGAAGGGGTGGAGTCCAGCAGGGCTGGATGGCTGATCGCCTGGGCTGCCACAGGGCAAGAGGGACCGGGATGGTGCCCCACAGGTGGTAAAGGCCAGACCCAGCCCATCACTCCAGAACACAGGTGCACAGGTGCAGGGCACCCACCACCTGCTTTAGCAGGCCTGGAAAACCCATCAGACAGTTTGCCTCTGTAGACTGGGCACAAATAATAACACGCACTGGAGCCTTGCTGAGAAGCCTTGGGAGAGAAGGAGAGGGGCCTGAAGAGAAAGAAAGGGGCTGGTTCCACCCACCTTTCTGATTCCTGTGAGGGTATAGGCATGGCCGCCCACCAGCCCGTTCTCCAGCACCCTCTCTTTCTGTGGAGACAAGAGAACTCCTGTCAGCCCACTGCTAACGGTTTATGTGGGGGTCATAGGGACCTGTGTGGTCAAAGCAAGGGCTTAAGGGGAGGGCTGGGAGAGACCCACTCTGTGTCCTCACAGTGGTCAAAGCTCTTCGGCACCCACAGTCTCATTAGAGCCTCTAAATCAGGGTGCCATTCTGCAGCGAGCCCCATCCCATTGTACACAGGACAAACTCAGATTCAGAGCTGCTAAACCATCATGTGGGGTGGCATGGCAGTTGCTCCTGGAGGCAGGGCTGAACCCAGAGCTCCCTACTCTAGTTAGAAGTTCTTGGTTGTTACTAAATCAGGCAGTAAAGACCTGTTGTGCTAGTAAAGCATCTTGCCCCTGGGTGATACTTAGTCACTGTCAGCACCCTTGTCTGCATGCCGTCTGCATACTACTGTGGCCTTGCCCACCCCAAGGGTTCTGCATGGCCGCTCTGGTTTGAACATCAGGACTCTAGGTGTAGGAGCTGGGTGGGAGTGTCAGGGCCCACACTGAGGTGAGGAGAGAAGTGTTGGTGGATGAAGGAGATGGGAACAGGAGAGGACATTCTGCCAGCACACAACCCACTCGCACCCCTGAGTGTGTCTGGCAGCCAATGAGGGTTCTGCTGTAGGTGGCCCAGGTGAGGATGTCCCAGAGGTTGCCAGGGGCCTCTGCCGGCTTGATGGTCATTGTCACCCCTCCAGTGAAGTCCACAAGTGCTTCAGACACCTGTCCACGCTGCAAGTCTTCATAGGAGCCAGACAGCCTGCCCGGGGAAGGAGTAAACATGGGAGGAGAGGGGAAGGGGCATTTGTATTGTAGCCTAGGATGATCCAAGTGAGTCTAGTGAACCCCCTGTTTGGTTCTTCTCTGGGCATGCACCTGTTACTCCTTCCTTCCATCCCCGGGCAAAGGAAAATCTACACTCTGACTTCCTGTCCTTGTTAAATAACTCCATCCATTAGGGAAAAGACAAAATTCCTGACTGCTTGTTCAGATGGGGAGATTCTGGATACATCACTTCTATATTCAAGGAGCCATGCCTCAGTGGCTCTTGTACCTCCTTCCTCTTGCACTCTCCCAGCATTGATGAGTTAGAAACAGAAAGAGAGAGTGGGGAAGGGAGGGGTAGGGAAGGGAAGGGAAGGGAAAAATTTCTGGTGGTTGTCTTACTTAGCATAGGCCTTTTCCAGAAGAGCTCCCCAGAACACATTTTTGTGAGTGGAAGAGACAAAGACCAGCTGGCCAGCTGTATTCACAGGAAGTCGGTCGTCTATCACCACAGGAACCCACTTCCCAAAGTGCCAGAACTAGAAGGAGAAAGTGTCCACTGGTGAGTAAAGATTGCCATGGAAGGCAGTCAGCTCAGGAGGCAAAGGCATGACTCTTCCAAGAACCTTCTTTCCTATGGCTTCCTCTGGGCTGGGACACCAGGAGGATACTCACCCAGAACTGGAAAATGCCGGCATAGTTCTCAGTGAAATTCTGATTCAGGGGAACGACACGGCTCAGGATGTCCTGATGCAAAGTCAGAGCTTGCAAAGCAGCCAAGAACCAGCAGTCACCTAGGCCAGAGAGTACAGTGTCTGCATGGATGTACCACACATTCAGGCACATTCTACAAGTGTCTGCATGAATCTATTGAGGACTTATCACATGTAAGAAATGCCTAGTCCCAATTGCTATCCTCTCTGGACTTGTAGCCTAGTTTCACAGAAGGGAAAGATCTACTCAGAGGAAGACAGTTAGTGAGGAGGAGGTGGAGAGGGGCATTGGCTGGAATCTCAACTTGACACCAAGAATCGAGTCAGATTCTTGGCTTCGATTCGAGACCAGCTTTTGGCTTCCTGAATGCCACATCCTCAGGAACTTGGACCCAAACACAACCAAACTTTTCTAAAGTCCTACCTCTGTAAGTGATTTATGTTCTCCTGAGAAAGCCTCAGCTCTCTCTGGACTCCATTTTTCTGTCTGTGAAATGGGTATCACTACATTTCCCTTCCCCAGTGGCCAAGGTTTTTTTTTTTTCTATTCCCCTAAAAGGAAAGTTGGGATGAGAATGGGCTTACTTGGACTCTATCTGGGGTATCTAGTGACTGGTGTGCTGAAAAGGACTCATTAAGGGGACTAGAGTAGAGAGAGCACATTCTCCCAAGACAAAACTTACACCTGTCAACTGGTAATGAGGGTTATTGTTAGGCAACTTTGGGCGTTCCCGTACATCCTCAGAGGACCAGCTGTTATCATTTTCCCAGCAAGGCCACAGCACTTCAAGGTGGAGTTCAGGGTGGCCATTTTCCCCCATTGGGATCTCTCACTTCTCCTCTTCCCCACCCTCACTCTGGGCTGGGCCAGGCTCGCAGGTGCCAGGCCTATGTCTCCAGGGGCTGTGCAGACTTACCTACCACTCCCTGGCACAGGTCCAGCCTTTTGGTGTCAGCAGAATAGAACTGGGGACTGCTGTGCAGCTCCTGCAGTGACAGACGGAATCATCCTTCTGACTAAGAAGTTCCTGGAGCTACAGCGACTGTAGTTTCCCATACCCCAGGACTGGACTTATGGGGATATAGATATAGGATACATGTGAAAGCAGGGCTAGCCCAGGCAATCTGGCATATGGGTTCAGCCCACTGTACTTCTCACTCCTTCTTGCAGCCCACATAAGCCGGAGTCCTGGAGAACTCTGTGTGGGCACTGAGGTACAGGGCTTGTACCCACAATGCCTTTTCTTAGAGCTTCTGTTTAAAATGGAAGTATGTCTTTTGGAAGGTGTTCTCATGTTTTCCTAGAGATCTGCACATTCTCCTCACTGTCGTCCTACGCCTTCCCACCCCACCCTCCAAAATAATGGTTTCTTTGCCTTTCTATGCTGAGACATGGGGCAAGGTGGTGGTGGGAGGTGGGGAGGGGTGGTCTGTGCTTCATGGGAAGCACCGAACCCCTGGGGTTCTGCACTGGCACAGCTCTCCTGAGGTCAGGTATATGACAGACTCTATGTCAGCAGTTTCCAAACTTTCTGGGAAAAGTAGAATCTTGGCTGCTCTCTAGATTGGGAAGCCCACTTGGGAATCTTATGCACAGAAGAGACTTGGTCTGGGGCTGCAGACTTTGATGAGAAGTCTGGACGGGCACAGAAGAGTAGAGAATTTGTAGCACACACTGACTTTACTTTGTTATAGATGTGACTGGGAAATTGTTTGTGTAAATCAAGTTTGGCGGGGGCCAGACTGTCTTTGAACACATTAAGTCGCCTTTTAAAGGAACCATCAGAGCACTCTATAAAGTGAAGAACATTGTTGTAAAGTGATTAATAGCTTCTTAATTTACGTGTTCCATGGGCCTGACTTTGGGGTTGGGAGTGAAAATATGTGAAAATGTGTCTCTTTGCAGATGGCCTCAGCGGAGACTCAGGGCGTCCTACCATCTTAGACGAGGTCAGACAGTACTTTGGCCACAGCTGCCCAGTGTATTTCCGGGGAGGAGCTGAGGGAGAGGCACACCTCAGACCCCTCTCAGCATCACCCCTGGTTTTGTCCATCTGGAAAATAGGAATGTGGGCACTCCCCCATTCCCCTCACATGAAAATCAATGACAGTGAGTAAGATGCTGCATCTGGAATACTCCACCATTCTTTGGTCTGGGTTGACTTGGTGTGTGTGTGCGTGTGTGTGTGTGTGTGTGTGTGTGTGTGTTGAGGGGATGCTTCCCCACAACTCCCCCCTTACCGGAGGCCTTCTCCACTGCAGGCCGGGCGGCAGCTTCCGCAATAGGGGCCCGCTGCCCACAGAGCACAGGCTGGCCGGGAAGCTGTCATCTTCAAAGAGGCGGCCTTCCATCAGGCACCTTTCCCTCAGGGCCTTGTAGTCCTGCTTGGGGAGCTGCGAGGAGCCCCCCAGTGAGTTCTTCTGCCCCATCTTCCATCTGCCTCGGAAAGACAGACACAGAGACATGGCAGAGTGTGGATACGGACCCCCGGGGTCTTCTGGGATGGTCTCGGTTGCTCCTGGAATGGAGAGCCGATGTTCAGTTTACTTGCTGCATCCAGAGAAGAGAAGGATGGAGAGAAAGTGAGATGGGCTGGGGCACCTGGGCCAGTTCTCGTCCTAGAGAGTTAGGGTCCTTGAGTGCTTGCTCCAGTGCTGGGGCTCGAGTTGGGGGTCCAGGCTCCACTACCAAGGCCTGAGGGAAAAGAGGGGTGTCGCCAGCCTTAGGCTGGGTCCTGGGCCTGTGACCATGCCAATGTCACTGGGACACTTCTGTTTAGCAGGGAGGTGGGGAGGAGGGCAGCAGGAAGCAGAAGCTCAGTCCATTGGGCTTGAGGGTCCTGGTGCCAGACAAGGAAGGAGTAGTGGCTGCACCTTCTGTCCTGCCCCACAGAGCCTGCTTGCCATCACCCCTACACTCGCACACATCCTTCCTCCTGCAACTTCCCTGTCTCTGGCTTTCCTCATTCTATATTCTCTTCAAAATTAACTCCTTCCTTAAAGACATTTTTGGCAATGTAAAAAAAAAAAAATTCACATACATATCATGGCAAATACTGACAGTTGTCTCTACCTACCTATTCACTCCTTTGCCTTATTAATAGGATCTCAGTTTGGGTCACTCAATCATAAAACTTGATTTCCAAGACCTTCTTGTAGGACAAGTTGGCCACCAGTACAGTGCTGGCCAATTAGATCAACATGCTAATCTATCAGGTGGGGCTTTTGGAAAAGCTGTGACTTTACCAGCTTTCCCAGTTGGCACCACTTTTGACTTCTGCCCTTTCCCCTTCCTAGAAAGCAGATGTAACACCTGGAGATAGAGTAGCTGTGTTGGGATCACTAGGAGAAAGCCACATGCCAGGAGTCTGAATCTTGATGATTTCCCTGAACAAACGTGCAGCCTTGGTGGCTTGCCTCTAGACTTATTACATGAGAAAGATAAGCCATTTGCTTATTTAAGCCATAGTGGTGGCCAGACTCTGCAGGGTTCTCTCTCTCTTTTTTTTTTTTTAATGTTTATTTATTTTTGAGACAGAGAGAGACAGAGCATGAATGGGGGAGGGGCAGAGAGAGAGGGAGACACAGAATCGGAAACAGGCTCCAGGCTCTGAGCCATCAGCCCAGAGCCCGACACGGGGCTCGAACTCATGAACCGCGAGATCATGACCTGAGCTGAAGTCGGACGCTCAACCGACTGAGCCACCCAGGTGCCCCTCTGCAGGGTTCTCTACGTCAACCATTGTTGTGTCTGTTACAGGCAACCACAGCACTCCTAAGTGACAGTCAATGGCATGCAAAATTTTACATACATTTTCGTGAGATCAATGGATCCTCCTTCTGAAACTCGTCAACAAGCTTCATGTTAAGAGCTCTGCAAGCCAATGGGACCCCACCAACCCCAATATTCTAGTGCTTCCTTACATCTCCTACATCTATTTTTGTGCAGTGGTGATTCCATAAGTCAATGGTTTTATGGCCTCTATTATTTGCATTCTTGTCTACTTAGAATCTGAAAATGTCAGAAGCTAGAATAGGCTTTCGAAATCATCAAATCTAGTATTTCCCCAAAATTATTTTAGCTGTGGGGTTCCTTCTTCAAATGAAATCCTATAGAAACTCAAGGGTAGAGGCAGGTTGGACCACAGTGCATCTTTGCAAGGTTTCTCATTTTATAGTTTGAAACCCACCAGTCTTATCTAGCCCCACTCATTTGTTAAGTATTAAAACAAAAACCCATTCATCCATTGGCTCATCAAAAATTTTACTGGGAATTTGTCATCTGGTGGGCTTGAGCTAGGTAGGCATCATTCCCCAGAGGCAGTCCCTGCCTTTATGGTTCTTCCAGCCTAGTGGGGGTCAAATGATCTTCCCAGGGTTGCATGGGAAAATTTCACCAGAGCCCTATCGAGAACCCAGGGCCCTGATCCCCATAACAGTTCTCAGCCCTCAATGCGAACAGCTCTCATTTGCACCAGTACAGTGCTTGGGACAGATTGTATATGCACTCAAAGCAGTCTGCCATCAAGTCTATGCCAAATACAAGTACTCCCTCACAGCGGTAGGATGATCTGCAGGTCCTCATCATTTGTCAAGGTCTTACCCATCCTCCAAAGTCCAACTTTATCTCCTCCACCAGGAAGCCTTCCTTGACTTTCCGGTCTTCACTGAGTTCCCCTCACCTTGCCTGTCTATTGACCCGCTGCCTACCACCTAGGACACTGGTGCTTCTAACTGGTGCTTCTCAAATTATCACTAGCGAAGTACCTATATTCTTTTATCTTCAACTTGTCACACAAATTAATGAATATAAATTATTAGAAAAATGAAATTTAAAAAAAGATATACAAAATACACTAACCCTTCCTTTAAAAATTCTTTTCAGATTCAACAGAAACACAATTATTTGGTCCATTGCTATAAAAGTTCCTGAACACTTACCCTTGGTTTTGTATTTAGCTCATCAAGCGCAGTGAGGAACCAGTTCACGAAACGGCCTTGTCCTTGGATTCCCCTGCGGGCTCTGCTCTGAGTGATTCACACACTGAAACCTCACCTGTCTAACACCCGTTTTCATCCCCCACAGGATTAACGCCAGCGGAATGCCGTTTGTCTCAAACCCTTACCTCTCTCTGAGGTTAGCCTGACTCCCTGTTGTTCTTCTATGTCACGGTTGCAGGTATGCTTCCTGGGGGAAGACCCAGCCCCGTCCCAACCGGGGTTACAGGGATCCAAACACTGTTACTGGGGCCTTGTGCTTTTCCCGCGAGTTGCTTACTGATATGGACAATCAGGCGAAGCTTCCTGCACCACATTTACACTTATAAACAAACACAGAGCCACAGAGAGGCTAAATCTTGCTGTGTTTGTCCCTTCAAGCCTGAGCGGCAATCCTTCACAGCTTGTGACATGACAAATAATAACAGGTCCCTCAGCTTCAGAAGCTGACCCAGGCTCGTGCCCTCCTTCCCAAGGGCTGGGTCACACTCAGATCTCTCCCCATGCCCGAAAACATCCCATCACATAACGAGTCCTGGTGCCTTGTGGGGCTCAGAGGATAAAGTGCCCAACACAAGATCCTCTCACCCTCCAAATTTCAGAATGAAACCACACACACAAATATCTTGCCTTTAAATAAGTATTCCTAAGGCACTTGAAGGAGAGTCGACACCCAGATGTGGGCAGTTGGCGATTCTTATATGTCCTCTGTATGTTACAAGTTGTGGGTGAAATCAGCTTGTTCTCAGATTGCCACAGCTCTCTGCAAAGGGCCAGATGCATCTTGGTTGTATTTGGAAATTAATTTTAACTATTGTAAGTAGACAGTGCTGCAGCAGGCCATTAGCATAAGACTATGCAAATGAATGTGGAAAAGCTGACCGGGGCACCTGATATGCAAGTGTGCAGGCTAGAGACACCCCCTCCCCCCATGCCTGAACGTCCTTTCCTTGCCTCCCCAGAGGGTGCTAGACTCCTCTGTCACATTCTTCATGTCAGGGTTCACTCATACTCAGCAAATTAGTACTCAGAGCCTCCACCTTCACTTGTGAACATTGGTTGTCCTTGACTTCGCGACAGACGTTCGGGGCAAGAGGGACATTTATGATGGGGTGTCCCTCGTGCTCCTAATCCAGATGAGGCCTTTGGGTGCTAACTGGCTGGTGAACACTGAGGGGCATGGCCAGGTGAGACACCTGAGTGTTCCATGCCTTGAGTCCCTGCCCTGATGTTCAGTGAATTCAGATGTTTACTGAGCACTTACACTGTGCCAAACACTGTACTCACGCTAGGCACATACACTTAGCCCTTAACTCACATAAGGGTAGAGACGGGGCTCTGGAAAAGAAACAAAAGAAGTAAGAACCACATTCTCATTCACAGGTGCTACGAACCTAAAGAATCCTCTTAGGGGATGACTGATTGCCAGAGAACTCTGGCATCCCGCCACAACCCACCAAGCTGTCAGAGGTAAAATTGGAAAAGAAACCTAGGCTTCTCACACCGTGGTCTGTCTGCATGATAAAAAGCATCGGATTGGAAACATGATCAATCCCAGGCTCTTGGCAGCTGGAACAAAAGAACAAGACTACGTGTCGGCCCTGCCTGATTTATCTTGGGCAGGGACTATACTTCTTTTGTGTCACTGGCGAGGTACAGTGGTCACGGAGCACTAGATGTGGAATTAGAACACCCAGAACGTGGCTGGGTTTGTCCCTTCTTACCTGTGTGACCGTGGGCAGACCCCTTATCTTTTCTGAGTTGGTTTCCTTACCTGTAAAATGGAGCTCACATATACTGTGTCCCCTCTCAGAACTCAAAAGAGATAACTGTGTAAAGTAGTTTGAAAAAAACTTTAAAGCGGGAGTTGGCAAACTGTGGCCCATGGGCCAAATCTGGCCCACCACTGGTTTTTGTAAATAAATTTTACTGAAACACAGCTACACTTACCTGTTTTTGTACAAGGTAATAGTCTGTGGCTATTTCTGCAACATACTTTACAACAGCAGAGTTGAGTAGTTGCAACAGAGATCATATATTCAACAAGCCTAAAATATTTACTGGCTGGCCCTTTGTAGAGAAGTTTGCTTAAAGCACTGTGTAATTCACATAGACTGTTATTGCACAGGGGTAGGCTCCAAGTAGGAATTCAGAGAATAAAATGTGATTAACTGGGTCCATCATGAAGAATTTATCTTAATGCAACGGAATTTTATCTCTAATTGATTCATTACTTTTTTATAGACTCTTAGCATTTACAGTTACATTTGTGTCTCAAAAAGACTTGAAGATGTGGCCTGCCATTTCTCTGTGCTAAAGTCTTGTCTCTAATTAATTTTTTTAGATGTGATGACATCAGACATTCCTGGGCAGCTTTCACGTGGTTTTGCGGGTACTGATTATGAATAGGAAAACCCACATCTCTATGGACAGATCATGACCTGTTTGTAAAAGAAAAATTATTTTGCAGTGTAGGGGAGCAAAATTTGCCACCCCAAACTGTCTCT